GCACAAATTGGTTCTTGAGGGGTGTGAAGATTCTTAACCGTTCATGTACAAAGCACATATCCCACATAGAACTTAAACAGAAATACAGTGATGGGCAGACGAGGGGTTGGGAGGAAGATGTCTAAGAAGGCTCCTCGCAGGGAGGGAAGGGGCAATCATGGAAAAACAGTGGGTCCCCGTTTTCACACTGAAAGGCCGGCCTCCTGGAGCCCCCTCAGTTCCTGTCTGTCACCCACTCTGCCTGAACTCCCTCGGCACCTAGGAGAGAGCCCTGAACCACGGGAAGAACCTCTGACGTCCTCCTGCAAGACGGGGTGCAGGAACACAGGGGGACACGTACAGATCATTTCGTTTTAATTTTCATATTTCTAAGACTATGTATCTTGGTCTTAAAATCGTTACAGTGCTATCAGGAGGAGACACAAATTGCACGTGAGGCCTTTAGATGTGCCATGAGCATCCTTGTTCTTCTATACTTACCGCTGCAGCTCCTGGCTCTGCCCACTGAAATCCCCCTGCCCGGACTTGGATGGGGAGTGGTGGCGACGCACGGGTGTTGGCCACGGGGGCTACCAGGGCAAGTAAGCAGGACAGGACGTGGGCGTGTGTGCATGTCAAGTCCCTAAGGCCTTGCAAGGAGAGGGGCTGGGGGGTGGAGGCAGTGAGGTGAGCTGGGATCCCCTGAGGATGCAGAGGGAAGTGTGGCTGAGGGGACAGAGGACAGGGACAGGTGCAGGAGCCATCGAGGCGAATAGATCCAGGCGTGATCCCAGAGCTTGGCGATGGACTGTGTACTGGGCTGAATGGTAGCACCAGAAAGATCTGTCCTCCTCCTAACCCCCAGAGGCTGTGTGCGACCTTATTTGGAAAAGAGGCCTTTGCAGATGCAATTAAGTTAGAGATCTGGAGATGAGATCACCCTGGATTACCTGGGTGTGTCGTAAATCCAAAGACAAGTGTCCTTATAAGGAACGCACAGAGGAGAGACACACGCGGTGCTGGGGGGAGGCCACGTGAAGATGGAGGCAGAGATGGGAGAGATTTGGCCACTAGGGGCACCACCAGGAGCTGGAAGAGGCAGCAAGGCTCCTCCTCCAGAGCCTCCAGCGGGAGCCCGGCCCTGCCCGCATCTCGATTTCAGACTTCTGGCCTGTAGGACTGTGAGAGAACAAATTCTTCTCGCTGTAAGCCCCCAGTGTTCAGTCATTTGTCCCAGCAGCCCCAGGACATTTGCACAGACTGGACATGCAGGCCAGAGGGCAGGGTCAACCGGCTCCTCTAGTTACCATTCGCCTCAGGAGGCTCCAGGAGGGGAGGTGGACCAGCTCTGTTCTCGTCCAACCCCTGAGGCCAACCAGCAGCTTTCTCAGTGGTGCGGGGCTCCCTCCCTCCCACCCACGCCTGCACTGACGCAAAGGGGCCCGGAGGCTGAACAGAGAACAGCACCCACGCAGCAGGAAGGGGCAGAGGGCTAGACCATTGAAGCCAGCCAGGGAGAGACACTCCTGACAAGTGGCCCATGAAATGCAGGACAATTAAAAATGCATTCAGCTTAGATTTTCTGAGAGCCATTTCCAGAATGTAAATACCACACCTGTCATTAAAAATGTATTTATTGCAATTACACAGGAGAATTCTTGGGAGGCTGGGCGCGCGTTCAATAAGTGTGTCTTTAATAACCCCATTGAATACGTGTTGCCAGGCACTGACACCCTTAACCTCCCTCCACGTGCACCCCAAACGGCAGACAGAGGGCGGTGGCATCCCCCAAAATGACCGATGCCAATCTTTCCCCTTCCAAACAAACTCGCACAAGTCTCAAAATGGAGAGGACATGAGTAGACAGACGATGCTCACAAGAGGAAATGCGATTAAACACAGAAACTGCCCACCCTTGCTAGGAATCACAGGCATGCGAATGAAAACGGCACTGCAGTCCCTTTGGGCCGGTAGGTTAGCAAGTTTCAGAAAAGCTGTCAGCCTGAAGCCGGCCAGGAGGCAGGGCACTTGCCCCAGGTGGAGAGCTGCTTTCCTCCTGAAAAAGAATTTGGCACTTCAGCATGCCAGCCGTAAATCTGCTCAGTAAAGATGCGTCCCAGGGAACAAAACGGAAAGGGAAGCGCCATGCTGAAACTTCTTACGGCAGCAGCAGCGCTAAGTACTAGAATGAATCGGTTCAAGGAGCGAGGGCAGGGCCATAAAACATGACGCAGCCCGTGGCACAACATGGAAGAACGGGAAACATCTTGTATGTGCGAAAGAAAGAAGATTCACAACTTTATTCTACGTCTCGCTGTACAACTATCTCAGCATAAGAGGGATGAGATAAACAAAGAAAGCAATTGGGCCCCACGCGTGGGGATGTGGGTGAACTTTCTTGAAATGACTGATGCTTCTGCATGTATTTTTAATAACGGAGAGAAAACGTCTGAGTCTAGAGACTGTAATGAGAAAGGAATGTGGAAAATTAACATCTGTTAATTTGTTTTGGATTAAAAGTAACTTTAGAGGGTGTGCTGTCCTGGGGACGATTCACAGGTAATCTCCTTCAGCTGCACAACCTCCCATCCAGGGATATTTTATCCCCATTTTACAGACAAGGAGACTGAGGCTCTCGGGAAGAAAAAGAGGCCCCTGTGGAGCAGCTCTGAGGTGAGTGGTTTGGCCTCCTTGAGACAGGCTGGGACCTGGGACCCCTTGCTGCAGCCCTTGCACCTGGACAAACATCTCCTGGAGCAACAAAATACAAAGAAACTACAAGCGACTAAAAATAACTGCGAGCACGTGCAGTTGGGGCAAATTATGGACAACACGGATACAAACAGACCAAAAACCCAACTGCCACTTCTGAAGAGCCGGCAGCAAAAACAGGGCGTCGGGAGCAAAAGCAGGGTCCTGAGCATGCCCCCCTGCCCCCCTGCACTTAAGTGGCCAAACCATTTAAACTGCCCCTTCTCCGGGACCTGCCCCTCCCCTCACCCCATATAAGGAACCAGCTCTCTGCCCTCAGGGAACAGCAAGGGAACCTGTTGTTTGTTTTCGAGCCCCCCTGCTGCAGCAGGGGCCCCAGTAAAGCCTTGCCTGAATCTCTTGTCTGGCCTCTGATCCATTTCTATTGATTAAGGAGGCCAAGAACCCTGGTCGTTAACATCCTGGGTTCCCTACCTGCTTCTGAAGAATTCTGAGTCTGGAGGCCTGGTCCCCATGCTGTGGGGCTGGCCAAGGTCTGTTCCACCCGCCATGCTACCCCGACTAGGCCTCGCAGCAAATTTTAACTACACCCAGCAACTCCGTCTGAATCAGCACACGTTACACCAGGAAGGCCCCTTGACTACCCGAAGCAACATTTCCGATAACCTCACTTTCTCCGTCCCCAGCGGTGCCGAGATGCTGCGAGAGCAGAGGGAAGCTGGTACCCACACTCAGGGTGGATTAGCGAACGTTCATGAAGATCTGGGCTGACAGACAGGAGCTGGGGAATGCGTTCGTTAGTCGAGGAATTCCGCTTGGAGGAAGAGAAGACAAGTGCCTCTCTCCACTTTGCAGCCAAGGGGACCTGTCCTTGGACCATCCACCTGGCAGAAGGGAGCCCTCCAGGGGCCGGCCCTTCCCAAGGAGACTGGCCCTGAAACCAATCCTCAAATGTGAATCTTCAAAGGGCAGCCGATGAGATGTCACTGGAACTTTAATGCTCTCGCTCTCCTCCCAAACAATGAACGGCCTTATCGGACCCTGGAGGGGCATTTTTGAAAGCAACCTCCTTGGTGGGCGAGTTGCTTCAAGGCACGAGATCAGAACAGTACCAACACATAAAGAAGTTGGGGGTCGCAGCAGGAAAACATCTATCGCAGACTGCTTGTCCTGAGGCCGCGATGGAATTGGAAAGCAGGCTGGTGAGTTTGGGAGGCAAATCCACAGCTGAGAGGGGCAGCCTAGGAAAGGTGCTTCTGTTGGAAAAGGGAAGGAAAACACACGGCTCCCCAGACCCCACATCAGCACCAGGGCGACCAAGCCGGCAGGTCCAAGGCAACACTGTTCCTCATCTAGCAAAGAAAGCACCCAACTCAAGGGTCATTTCGGCAACTGGCCAAAGCATTACGGAATTCCCTCAGTAAGAACCAGCAATGAATCATGGAGCGCCTTCACTAAAAGCAAAGCCAAAAGTCAAAAATAAATCAATTCCAGGCGGTTGCACATAAATCAGGAGTCCTGATCGGCCGCTTTCGGCGTTTTTAATGGATTTCAAATTTAAAAACCAATTAATTATTACTCAAGAAACACATCTTGGAAAGCACAACGCTTCAACACCCGGACAACATGGGAATGGCGCACGGGGCCCGGCGGACACAGCGTACTTGCCCGAGAGAAGCTTTGAAACCACAGCCCAAGATGCTGGGAAACTTCCTTCCCCTTCCTGGGTGAGCAGACGTAAATACAAAGATAATCATAACCCAAATGACTTCTCAAGGCCTCCTTCTCTCCCACCTCATTTAAAACATCAAAGAGGCTGCCTAATTCTGGGGCTGAATTCACATTTCACTTATAAAGAGATAGTACCCGTCGTTGGCCAGGGGCGTTATTTATTTACCAAGCTCTCTGGGCTGAGCCAGGAAGAAAGAAAGACACCCGGACCGTGAGGATAATCGGTGTGTTTGGGGGACTCCAGGAGCCGTGTCGAGAGGAGATTGTGCACTGACCTGAATTCACAATGCAAACCCCCTTCCCCCGGGGGAGGAAAAAAAGCGAGGGCAGAAGAACACAGACAGAAAGGAAAGAAAGCAAAGAAGCCTTCTGAATGGCTGTCTGTTCTCCAGCCCTGTCTGTGTCACTGACGAAACACTTTATTAGTTTCAACTTCTGTATGCGTTTTCTAGCCAAAGAAAAGTCGAGAGGCCGCCAGCCAATGGGGGCTGCTCCGGCCGGGCCTTCGGATCTCAGACCCCGGCCTGGGATACGCGCAGGTATGGGAGGAGAAAAGGCCCACCCTCGGGCTGACTTACCGCCACAGAGAACTTTCCAGAACCTTCCCCATGTCTGCATGGTAATACTTCGTCAGGATTAAGATCACCTGTGGCGGCAACAAAGACAAATGCAGAAATCAGTGGATTTCAAGGTTCTGAACGGGGGGATATCATATAACACTTCCCCCACCCAGGATTTGGGGTCTCTCCAGTGTCAGCTGCCCAGGCCTCTCTAGTTGACCCCGGAGTCCCGGCCACCTTGCCCCAGAGCACTCAGACCCGGCGCTGGTTTCTGCTCCGCAGAATGATTTGGGGAACATCCCCGTCCTGTGAGGTCCACCCAGTAGCTGCCATTCGGCAGGAATCACTCCAGCTCGGGCCTGGACGATCTCAAACTGTGGTCCAAGGGATGCTGAGGTGGTGGTCCTGGTGGGCACAGAACGCATGGGGCAAGGCTTCCAAAGAGGGGCTGAGTCCCCACCAGCGCCTTCGAGAATGACCAGAAGCTGGCCAGCACGCAAGACAAGGGCATCCCCGGAAGTACATGGTGTCATTACGTTCCCCGGAGTGACGGCTGATGACAGAGCCAGCGACGGCGGGCTGGGAAGGTGGGCGAGGACAGCTGGGACGGCTGGAGGGGCCCATAAACCATCGACGGCACACACACTTTTTATTGGTGCTGAACTATGCATCGCACACACTGGGCCCTACTTAACAAGACGTCTTCATTTCATACCTGTGCAGGAAGTGCATCTGCTTATAAAAATGAAAATCAACGTGTGTAAGAGCACCCCAAAACCCTCCCCTCAAAAATGTAACGATCACAAGGAAAAGAGGCTTCATTCACCTGCCGGGCAGCAAAAGAGACCCTCCCCCATGACTTCACGAGCCACTGCATTTTCCTGGACATCACATTTCATTTCACTCACTGCCAGACCCTATTAGCTGCTCCCAGCATTGCCGTTGCCATGGGAACCCCGGGAGGTGAAGTGGGAACAGCCCCTGGGTCCCAGCGGTGCCACTGGCCTGGATAATTTAGGGTCACCACACTGGCCATCCCCAAGTTTGGTTCCTTCTCACGAGCAGGACTTTCTCTGCTCTCCGTCTTTGGGGGCGAAGCCGCTGCAGCAGTTTGGCTGGTCTTTCTTTCCCTGGTGATTAAAGCAGGGAAGATATAAGGAAGGGATGTCAAGTGAAACAGGCCAGTGTGCGTTTTAGAGGCAGCGATGATTAAAAAAAAAAAGAACCAGAGGTCTCGTCACTGGAGGCGCGATCAGCCTGCCTTGCTGGGGAACAAAGCTATTTTCTCCTGCCGCGCGCTCGGGCTGCCCTAGTCAAGCAGGAATCCTCTGAAGACTGGGGGAAGGCAGCAGAATGACAGGCCCTGGACGCGCAGGAGACAAGCGTATTTTTAACCTATTGATTTATATTTTATACTCTTGCTGTTCCCAGAGGGGATTTCAAGAAGCGGGAGTATGACAGCTGGAAGGGACCTCAAAGTCTGTTTAATCCGGCCCCATCCAGGGTGAAATCCTCACCCCCGCAGCCTTCTCGAGCACCTGCCATGTGGGCTCTGCTCGCACGCCTGGAGGGGTGGGGGACTCAGCCCCTACCGTGGTGCCCGGGCCCCTGCGTGGGCTGAGCCCAGTCTCCCGGTAACTTCTGCCCGTGTGGACTAGTTCTGCCACTGTGGACGATCACCAAGGGGTTCCCCCTCCCACTCCCTTCTGGGTGACATTCCCCACTCATGCCCACCCCCTTCAGCCTAAGCTCCAGCCATTCCTGGCCTTTGCACAAGCTGTTTCTCATCTCGGGACCCTCTTCCCCCCACCACCTCTAATGCCTTGGTTAAATGCTACTCAGCTTTCAGATCTCAGGCTAATTGACACCGCCTCCAGGAAGTCCCCCAGGCCCCTCCCCTGGATTCAATGTCCCCTCCCAAATCCTTCAGACCCTGCGCTTCCCGCTGCCCCAGCACAGCTCACGGGGTCTGTTACCAACACTGGGTAATGAGCCCTTTAGGGAGGGGACTGTGTCTTGTTTTATGCCCCAGCACTGGGCATAGCGCCTGCTGTATCATGAGCACTCAAACCGCTCACGGGAAGAAACAGGAGGTGGCATTTCCCAAAGTGATGATAAATAAGGCAATGAAGCCAGGCAGAGGCGATGCCCTGAGCATCCATTCACAAGCCACCCTCTTCTGTCAAGAGGGCACCATCCCTCTTCGTGCAGGGGGATGGACTCGCTCTCCTGGCACCACCCTGACCTGCTAAGCCTAAGGAGCGTCTGGGGTCCCGAGACCAGGACCCGGGTCATGCCTGCTCGGGGCTGACGCAAGGAGCTGCCCAGCTGGTCAGCCTGGGGGATGAAGAGAGCAGCGGGAAGGACCCCTCTCCTTTGGGGGCAGAACCTTCAAGCTCCAGGCACCTCGGTTTCTGGATCTACAATGAGGAAATAATACCCAGCATCCCCTGGGAGGATGGGGATAAAGTTGTCAGCAGCACCTGGGAAGTGACCCACACACACCTTGTTAACACTCGCCAATGCCAGCTCTGTCACCGACGTGTGGGCACCAGGGCACGCGGTTCACCCACATCAGCTCTACCCCCGGCAATCCTATGGGGCCACCGTGTTATGATCCCCATTTGACAGATGAAGCAACTACAGCAGAGAAAGCTTAAGTACTGCGCCAAAACTGACTCATCCAGGAAGCAGACGAGCGGGATGCCTGCTTCCTGGACGCAGAAACTATGGGACTTCAGAGCTTAACTGCCAGGCTAAACCCATGTTCCATCTATTCAACGTCATTTCAAAGAGACGTCTATTCAACGTCGTTTCAAAGAACTAAAAGGTATGACATGCCTTCTGGGGCCCTCAGCTAGTGGGTTTGGAAATGAAATATCCCAGGAGCTATTTTTCCAGCAGCTGGTGTGTTACTGCAGCTCTGGGGCGCTTTGATCTGGGCGGGAGAAAAATCCGGAATGTGAGTTGGGGCTTCTGTGTTCGGGCCGTTGCCAAGGGTCTCCTCCCCGCCTGAGGGGCCGCCTGAGCCCACTGGAGTCTCAGGACGGTAGGAAATCCAAGGAGAAGACAAGGATCGTGAGCTGCCCCTGCCCGCGGGAGGACAGGCCACAGCATCACTATCACCACACTGTCCCACATCACCCCCGTGTCCTGCTTTCTGCCTTCCGGTCCTCTGGGCCCTGGGCGGGGACAGGCTCATGATGGGGGTGCTGGGGGCTTACGCTGTGCCAGCTCAGCACGTTTGTCATCGGATCCTCACTCGGCCCCCCCCCCAGGGAGGGGTCGCTACTATTGTTTCCATTTTACTGACAAGGAAACCGAGTCACAGAGCTGACAACTCGCTCATCTGACATTGTACACAACAGAACCAGGGCCTCTTGTGGCCAATCCAGGGCTTTCATTGGCTCTGTTTCCATCCCCCGACTTCTCCGTGATGTCCGCCTTCCCAGCGTGGGACGCAGAGATGCCCCTGGCTGCGCCCTCACCAAGGTCCAGCCAGCAGCCCTCCACCCCGAGAGACCAAGCCGTGGCCCCAGAGGAGCCAACCTCTCTGGACTTTCCCCAAACCTGCCTGTTCCTGAGGCCGCTGGGCCAGAAACTCTGTGAAGGCAGAGGTTAGGGTTAGTGGCCCTTTGATCCCCCCAAAATTCCCGGAGCTTAGGTCAGAGCAAAAGTTCACCAAGGTTTGTTGAGTGAGTGAATGAATGAGTAAAGGAATGAATATCCCCGGACGGAAGCTGATGACGAGAGGAACCAGAATCTGTCCTTCAGGCCCAGCCACAGCCGACCCCACCACCCCGATGTCTGGGTTCCCTCCAGAGCCCGTCTGCCTGGACCACCCCTCCTCTGACCCCAGCAGGCACCACCCGAGGGTGCAGAGCGCGCCCTGTTCTTGAGCCCTGAGGCTCACGCACAGCAATGCCCAGCCCGACCCTCGGGCAGGAAGCTCAGGAAGCCTGGTGGGCGTGAGACCCCCAACCCCTTCCCCAGCAAGAGCATCCCCGGCAGCCGGGCCGGTGCGCCGGCGCCGACCTGTGCAGATGTTCGGGCCTGCGCTCAGGAGGCCCTGCGCTTGGTTTAATTCTCTGCTGTCACGTCTTGAAATTCTTTAAAAGTTTGAACAGGGGCCCTGGGTTTTCACGACGCAAGGGACCCTGTGAGCCACGTAGCTGGTCCCCAGGCAGCTGCCCGCTCCTCTGACGTTCCCAAGTTCAGTGCCCCTCCAGCCCTCCCCATGCCCTGGACACAGCGTGTCTACTGGACGCCCAGTTCTACCAAGCCTGCTGAGCCCTGTATCCCTAGTCAGGGAAGCAAGGAGGGCAGGTCAAGGTCAGGGGCTGGAAGGAGGCCCACATGGGCATCAGATTAAACACCAGAGCCCATGGGAACCTGGGACAGTTTCCTCCAGTGCCCCACTCTAGAAGTGGGGAGAGTGAGGTTCAGAGAGAGAGAGGGGCTCAGTGGGCACAGACGCTGGTCCCCAGAGATCCCGGTCCAGAGCCCAGCCACGCACCCACTGCCCCTCACGTTAATCCAGGGCCCGTGCCAGCCTGCTCCCTCACTGTGGGTGGCCAAGGGCTCTCTCTCTAAGAAGGAAAGGAAACCCTGGCGTCCATGATCAGCTCATGGAGAGACACCCCCAGCTCCATCACCACCAGCCTGTCTCCGGCCCCCACTCCACAGTTCAATTCCAAACCCAACAGTGAGTCATTCAACGCGCTCTTCTCTCTTCTGTCCGGTGAGCCTGTTATATTCACCTTGCAACAGGGCGCCGGACCTGTGTCTCAAAGCGCCTGAAAGGGGCTTACGGTAACAGCCCAGTAGGTGGAGGAAGCCCCGCCCACCAGCCGAGGACCCTGATGTGTCATGAAGGGATCTCTTGCTCTGAGGGCAGGCTGGTCTGGGGGAGTCTCGGTGCCCAGGGCTGATGGAGGCCAGTCCCACCTGGGAACAGCATCCACTGTGCCGTTTATATTTTCTCCATCAGGTCTCGCTGGCACTGCTGGCACCGCTTCTCAGATGCATGAGAATAAAATGAGGCGGGGGCAGTGCAGCTGGACCACCCTGACCAGTCAGTTAAACC